AGTCCTACCATCGCTCCTTCAATGGAAATGACTTTTCCTTTTAGCCATATTCCTCCCTTGCTTCCATCGGAACGAATCTTGGATTTGTCTTCCTGCCAGTAAAATACCTTGTCCTTCACCTGAAGAGGCTTTGAACTCATTCGGAGATTTTGAGCAAGGTCTCGTCGGATGTCCTCGGATTGACGTGCTTCTTGGAAAGCTTGCTTTGACAGCTGCTTGATCTGGATGGCTGTCATCTCTTCTTCTTCATTCCTGTCAATCGTCAACTGAGTTGGAGTTGCGACATCGAGTTGGATGAGATCTGCTGGTCGTCTTCCGAATGCGAGCTCCAATGGTGTTACTCCCCCGTAGGTGACGGTCTGATTCCTGACAGTTGCAGCGGCCTTCACCAGTTGCCTGTAGGTCACTTTCTTCAGTGTTGCAGGTGCAGTGCCTGCTTTGATGGAACTTAGCATGATCTTGAGTTGTGCCTTCAGGAGTCGAACTGCTGCTTCAGCTCGATTTGGCCATGGTGTATTCGGTCCCAAGGATATCGGAGTGATGTCAAGGGACTGATAGAAATGTTCCCATGTATCTGTCATGAAGGCTTGATCTGCGACAACTGATTTGGGCTGCAAGTGGTACTGGTCAAAATAGTTCCTGAGGACAGTGATGTTCTCGGCTTCTTGCGTAGTTGTCACTGCCTCTGCAGTGAGCAATGTTGTTGCTCCATCCAGGATGACAAAAACAATGATGTGTTCTCCTGTTCCAAGAGGAACTTGACAGTGATCAATGAATGTCATGTCACCAAAGGTGTCCGCTCGAAGTCCACTTGTTTTGCTTCGTGATGGTGCATGTTTTGCCGCTTGGCAAACTTCACACTCACTTCGGATCTTGTCAAATAGATCGAATGTTGATTTCGGCAAATGAAGTGCGGGTTCTAAATCGAAATTGATCTGTTGTCATGTGATGATGCTGCAGGTGGAGTTTCTTCAACTCTTCGGGATTTGACAATCGCTTGTGGATTCTGCCTAGGGCAAGCGGAAGCGATGTTGGTTCTTCTGAGGATGGTGCGAAAGGATCTGGCTCAATAGTCGACTGGCCCCTCTTGTCGATGATCCTGTCTGCTGCCGATCCTGAACCTGCTTCTGCGTCCTTCAGCGAATTGTCCGAGAAGGTGAAAATGGTCTTACCTATCCACAGGTTAATCATCGGTTTATTTGCCTGGGATGTAAGTCTCCAATTGTCTTCCAAGATATCTGGATCTCCACCTGCGGATGCATCAATGATCTCCGTGGTACGTTCTCGGCTGATGTGATCAGGATTGATTGGACATTCCTTGGCTCCATTTGGTGTGAACAGCGCCTTTCGGGGCGTGATGTGCACACGGATGAGCTGCTTGTTCTTCTTGTCAAGGATCCAATGGTCCTGCTTTTGAGGCCCAATGATCTTAGAAGTTGCTAGGTCCTCCTTTGTCTCGGATGATTTTGCTGCACAAACAGTTTCGCTCTTGGTGAGATCCCCGGAGGGAAATTTGATGCTGTTGTCATCGTCATAGACATAGTTGGTGAGGCCCTTGTGAGCAATTTCTCCATGTGCCTTCACTCTTGCAACTCCAGCGAGATCGACGAGTGCATGTCCTGTACCGGATACTGGAACTGCTTGACGGTTCATGCCAAAGGCCTTGCATGTGATCTTGTCACATTGAGGTGTGTGCTCGATGGTCATGTAGAGGTTCCGCATCTGGCTGATGCTGAGAAGGATCGGTACAGTTCCTTGTTCAAGGACGTCGATGTTTGTACTGCAAGGAGGAGTTGTGTGATATCGAAGATGCAGGGTCCAATTTACCCTGGCGGTCTCTCCGTTTGCAAAAGTGAACTTGGTCTCGGCCGGGATGTACTCATAGGAGATGATGTCCTTCATTGGTTCGATTGCCTGGGTGAAACGCTGGATTGCATGCCAGCTGCACATAGATCTGGTACATCCGTTGTCCAGAATCGCATAGGTCGGGTTGTGCTGAGGGTTGATGATAGGCGCCATCAGCTTGTTGCCAAAAGGCTGTGATTTGTTGTGACGGACAGATTGTGTTCTGAAACTGCATCTGATTGGATCAGCTTCTCGTGGATGGCCTTTTTCCCAGGATACTCATGTGCATCATGGAATGCCATTAACGCTTGTCCTGTGCTGGATGTCTCATGGGATGAGTACCAGCCATGTTCGTTCCATGTCCATGATTGATCCCAATCTTGGTCTGTCCAACCGGCATAGGTAGGCTCCATGGATGGTGCAGTCTGCTGGATGGCGGGCTGCTCCTCCGTCTTTTCTGCGGTGGCTGTGAACGTCTTGGATTGTCCTTTCTCCTGTCCGCTCTTTCCCTTGCCGTGTGTGTGTGTGTGTCTGTGTGTGTGTGCGTGCGTGCGTGCGTGCGTGCGTGCGTGCGTGCGTGCGTGCATGGTTGCGTGGGTGCGTGGGTGCGTGGGTGCGTGGGTGCGTGGGTGCGTGGGTGCGTGGGTGCGTGGGTGCGTGGGTGTGTGTGTGTGTGTCTCTGTGTCTGTTTGTCTGTGTGTCTGTGTGTCTGCGTGTCTGCGTGTCTGCGTGTCTGCGTGTCTGCGTGTCTGTGTGTGCGTGTGTGCGTGCGTGCGTGCGTGCGTGCGTGCGTGCGTGCGTGCGTGCGTGCGTGCGTGCGTGCGTGCGTGCGTGCGTGCGTGCGTGCGTGCGTGCGTGCGTGCGTGCGTGCGTGCGTGCGTGCGTGCGTGCGTGCGTGCGTGCGTGCGTGCGTGCGTGCGTGCGTGCGTGCGTGCGTGCGTGCGTGCGTGCGTGCGTGCGTGCGTGCGTGCGTGCGTGCGTGCGTGCGTGCGTGCGTGCGTGCGTGCGTGCGTGCGTGCGTGCGTGCGTGCGTGCGTGCGTGCGTGCGTGCGTGCGTGCGTGCGTTGCGTGCGTGCGCGTGCGTGCGTGCGTGCGTGCGTGCGTGCGTGCGTGCGTGCGTGCGTGCGTGCGTGCGTGCGTGCGTGCGTGCGTGCGTGCGTGCGTGCGTGCGTGCGTGCGTGCGTGGGTGCGTGCGTGCGTGCGTGCGTGCGTGCGTGCGTGCGTGCGTGCAGTGCATGCGTGCGTGCACGTGTGCGTGCGTGGCGTGCGTGCGTGCGTGGCGGGCGTGAGGGCGGGCGGGCGGGCGGGCGTGAATTGTGTGTGTGTGTGTGTGTGTGTGTGTTTAACACTTTCTGTTCCTGAGTGTGTTTTGAGTTGTTCTTTCTGAGTTGTTGGGTTTCTTGAGGAAACCTGCAGATTTCCTCCCAGCCATTCTCTTGCCTAAAAACTCCAAAACCATACTCAGAAAAATCAAACTCATGTCAGGAGGGGAATGCACATGTGTGTTGTATGTTCCCAATTTAAGTTGGCTTGTCTTTTAGGGGGAAACCGTCAGATTTCCTCCTTAAGCAAACCCAAAAAGCTAAGGAACCGGATGGCTGGGAACCACCAAGTAAACAAAGCTTTAAACCAAAAAAAACTCAAGAGCTCAGCTCCAGACTCGGCCTCCCACTCAAGTGGGGGCTTCGAGTTCGAGGCTTTCTTTCTGAGTTGCAGGCTGATGGTGTTGTCTTTGTTTTGCGTCTGAGCTTGGCTGAGTGGTCTTTGAACTTGCATGGTGTTTGTTTTGTTTGTGCTTTTCTGTGCTTCTGACACCCATCCTGTCGGAGCACATCGGGTGATAAGCCCAAAGTGCACTTTCCGACGGTGGCTGTTGGGGCTGGAAAAGCACCGCCCGACGGCCTGGCACCGTCGGTTCCTCGCGGGTTTTCTTTAGCCACCGCTCACGGAGCATGTATACGGCCCCTTGGAAGAGGCTCAAGGAGACAGAGTGCCACAAACAAGTCGTGCTTGACGTTGGGTTTGGGGAGCAAAAATGATCAAACTTTGGCAGTTCAGTGGATTTGGATTTCAACCACTCAACCACAATTTGCGCAAAGATGTGTCAAATGTTTTCCAACAACAACCATGAAGTAGGTCCATTCTAGAGGCTGATTCCATTCTTTTCAAGCATCGTTCTTTTCAAGTGATGGTTTCCTGAAAAGAAGCATCCCTGGAAAGAATGGAATTGGAAGGTACCCCTAGGTCCAGTGCATTTGTCTCACGCATGTGCCAAAAGTGGAAACTGTTTTCTCCGCCTTCCAGTTGGAGTAGCAAAAATCGCCCCTCTTTGGGCAACCGGCGAATATTCCGAGGCCGCACCCATTCGGCTAATGTTAATAAGGGATCCTTTGGTGGACATCATTTAGCTGGGGATTCATGTATGGTCCTGGAATCTCCATGACCCTTAAAAAATGGGGTCATTACCCAAAATACTGGGGTCAATGACCCATTTTTAAAGGGTCATGGAGACTCCAGGGTTCCCTATTTAGATGCATGGCCATTTGGGCGTTTCCATCGGAGCCCAACTCTTGCGCCTGCTCGCCTGGGTCCGGCCCTACATGGCACGCGCTCAAAGGTGCGATACGCCAAACGGAATTCGCATGGCAAAGACGGGGGGGGGAGTCAAGTCCCACCAAATGCTGTGTCCTCTTCAGGAGTGTCTGAGGGAAGCTGACGTGCTGAGGTCGCTTTTCACACTCCAGGGCAAGATCTCATATTTTCGCAACGAAGCCGCATTGAAATGCCCAGGTCTTTCTTCATGCCTGAGCCACGAAGTCGCCGCGGAATCAAGAGCTCCCTACTGGAAGTACTCCATAGACCACCAGCTCGGAGCATCCCCTCGAGAATGAATTGGACTGCATGAGTTGTTGCGGGCTTGAACATTTTCGTGGGACCCCCAAAACCCGGCCAGGAAGAAAATCCCAGATCAAATCAACGGGAGAATCGGCAGATCGACCTGAGACACACCTCGCCACACATCGCCCTCCCTTCGCGCAGGTCGCTCGCCAGACTCTCTCACTGCGCCCCGGGGCTTTTCTCGCGCCTTTCGCGCCCCTTTCCGGCAATTTTGTCGCGCGGGCGCGCGCTAACGCCAAGACGCTGGCGGAGATTTGTCAGCCCTCCTCAAAGAGGAAGTTGGCTGCGAGCTCCTCCTACGTGAGTCGGAGCCCCCAAAGCGTTCGTTTTTTGTTTTTGCTATCTCTTGGTACTGCATGAATCAAACGGGCTGGGGTAGAGGAAAAACTCATGACATGAAAACAACTTATTTCCGGGGAGTTTTGGGGCCATGGCCTGTCGATGTTCCGACCAAACCCTTGGAACCAAACGAGTTTCTGTCTCCGCAAAGCCGCGATATCCCCCCAACTTCCCCCCAACTTCCCCTCAGAGACTTGCAAAGCCACATGCCACATGCCACGCCACTACCCCCCAGGATCTTGTCGTTCATAGAGGCTCAAGGGCATCGGCCCGATGTAGCTCTCCAACCCGGAAAATCCGCATGGGTGAAATCGTGCATCACCAAATCCAAGCAAAAAAGGACAAGCAGAAAACGAGACAATACAAGCAAAGCTCCATTCAGCTGCAAAGGCCATTGCTTCCATGCAAAATCTCATCTGGGTGAGGCAAAATTTGACCACCAAGCCAAAACGAGGCACCCGGATCTGAGTCAGGGCGGTGGGAAATGACCACTTCTGTGATACAACAAAAAGGTCTCCCAAAGACTACCCGTCTCTCAGCCCAGAGCTCTTTTTCTCTTCAAAAACAATGACGCAACATTCGCCCGCGCCTGGCGGTCGCAGGCGACGTACGCCTCAAGCGCCTCAGGCACAAAGAATCGGCCGACGAGTGTTGTTGTTATAAGTGGCCTTTGGGAAAATCGATGGGTTTCCCTGGTAAATTACAGTATATGTATATACTATACACATACCTGGATCTTCCAAACTGTGTAATTTCATGCCTTTTCGTGAAAAGCTGTTTGTTTGTTGTTTTTTTTGTTTTGTTTCCCCCCGTGAAAAAGCGCATTTTCGATGCAAGGACTGAAACGTGTGCTTTCTCAGCCCACGGCGGGAAAAGTGCACGCCTGAAGATTCTGGTAATATATGTTATTTGTATGTACACATTTGTATTATATATATATATGTATATATGTGATAATTACCTGCCTCTTTGCCGCACCTTCTTGTTGTAAGGATGCCCCACCTCCCCGGGTGTTTTGTCAGCTGGGCGGAACATCTCTCTCTTTCGCCTGCTGCTGGCCGAAGCCCAGCGCCATCAGCCGGCTCACCGCCGCTTGGTCGGACTCCGAGACCTGCCGCTTGGTCGGACTTGAGGGTCAATGGTTCTGGCTGGGCCAAAGAGCATCCTTTGTGTGTCTCCCCCTTTTTACGGGAGCATCCTTGATGTGTCTCCCCCCCTCTAAAAAAGGGGGGGAGGATAAGGAAAAAAATAAAATAAACATATCCAGTAGTGATCGATTCCTTTTAAAACCAACAGGGGAAAATAAAGCAACTTCTTAAACAAATGGAAGAAAAGGGGGGGGACGATACCTGGTTCGGATCAATTTCCACCAAGGACCCAGTGGCCAACCCCTGCCCTCCAACCCACCCACCCACCCGTCTCCTCTGCCTCTTCCATAGGCTCCTGCATCCAACTCCCCGAAACGTGGGTGGACGACATCCATTTCGCACCTAAGAAGTCCTAGAATGATTCGATTCCTCCAGGCGTCTTGGATAATGTTGACCACATACTGAATGGACGAAATCCTGCACCACCTAGGCAACCCTGCAATGATACGATTCCCCCTGTACATACCAACAAACAAATGGTTTCAACCATGGCTTCAAAGTGCTGCGAAACGGAGTTCGCCACCATCCACAGTATGTCTCAAAACTCCCTAGATTTCCCCTTGAAACCTAAGCCCCGAACAAGACTCGCCTTCCATGGGCCCCAAAAAAGGTGATGCTCTACAAACCACCGACAAGGGAAATCTAAAAAATCGACCTCCACAAGGTGTTTGCAGCCAATCTCTTCCAGGCCATTGCGCGAAGCGCTTCATTCCGGGCCTCGCCTAGACAAGCCTTTTCTTCGGAGTGGCTATGCGCTAACCTTCGGCCTTTTTTCCCACCAACCAGAACAGAAGGCGCCCCTCTGAAGCAAACAAACGTCGCATCTGGCATATGAAAAGGCATTGCGTTTTGGATCCTGCCGGACCGGACGACCGGACCCCGTGTGACAACTAATTACTATTTGCTTAAACCCCCGGGAAAAAATGATAATATGCCCAGTAGTGATAGATTCCCTTTAAAACCAACAAAGGAAAGTAAAACATCTTCTTAAGCAAATGGAAGACAACAAGTACCTTCCACTCGACGCCCCGGGCTCCTCGCCAGCCGCATCCTCCTCCGGCGCTTCAGCCGCATCCTCCTCGGCTGAACTTCTGCGGGGGGAGCGGGACCTCTCCCGCGGCAAGCCGCCCAGCAGGTACCTTGGGAGTCACCAAAATCTGGGCGACGTGCAAAATTTGGCGCAAATTGAAGGGGGTTGTCTAACCACGACTGTAAACGCAATGTGGAACCGTGACAACTGCACATTGGCCGGTGTTCCACCTCCCTCATGCTACTGGGGCTGGTGTCTTGGCTGCACAAAGCTGGGGAGACAAGCCGCTGCAGATACTGTCGATTCCCTCACAACCAACAGTTGCGTCAGCTCCAGTCTCAATCAATGTCCATCCTTTACTTCCCCAGCGACCACCTGGAACAACAATGCGGTTCTGCGAGCGGAGTTGAATCCAAAAAAGAAGGAACACAACTTGTCGCTTTTAGAGAGCACTGGCGCATGGTTATGTTTATTTTAACCTAAATCATCAACTCATATGTACGTGTATATAAACACATGTCTGTATGTATATACATACGCATGTTCATCATCATCATATATATATATATGTGTATACATATATGTACATACACATACGCCACCAATTCATACCCACCTCAGATATACATACATATATATATATATATATACACATGTTCTGATGTGTGCGTCACTTTCCTTCACCCGAGACACAGGCCCAAATCCAAAGGCCAGGGTGCTCCACTGCCTGCTGCTCGTTGTTGCCAGCCACCCGGAGACACTCCAGGACCTGCCAACAGCCGAGGCCCAACACAACCCAATGTTGAGCAGAGTCCAATAGCCCCTTGGGTCTGGACGCCAAAAAGAGAAATCAAGTCATGTTGAACGCATATCAATCAACCAACCGGTTTTTGAAGAGGGGGGTGGTTTTGGCCCCTCCAAAAGTGGTCTGATTCCCCGCATTTCACCCAGCACCCTATTAATAAAAAGGGGTTGATGAACCAGCTTCTGGTAACCAGCGCTTCGCCCAGGACCAACTCCCGCCCTCACCGAGCCTTGTCCTTCGGAAAGCCTTAGGTGGCAAGAGGCACGGAGCAAAGCGCTTGGACATGTAGACGGAGAAAAAAAGAGTCTAAGATAGGAAGGAAGGAAGGAAGGAAGGAAGGAAGGAAGGAAGGAAGGAAGGAAGGAAGGAAGGAAGGAAGGAAGGAAGGAAGGAAGGAAGGAAGGACGGAAGGAAGGAAGGAAGGAATCAAGGAAGGAAGGAAGGAAGGAAAGGCGGGAAGGAAGGAAAGGCGGGAAGGAAGGAAAGGCGGGAAGGAAGGAAGGGAGGAACTTTCGCATTGCTGCCCACAGCCCAGGATCAGCCTGTGGGAGATTGAGCGCTGTGAGCTGTGGCAGCGAAGCGCGACTGACAAAACATCCCTCGTGGCCTGACCAACACGAGTCGAGGCAAACCTGGCGTTGCATGTGCTTGTGATCAACATCGTTTCTGTTCACATCTTTGTGATCAACATCAAAACAAAACATCCTTCATGTCCATACTTAGTCAAAACCCCAACATTGTTTCACACCTGCACATGGCATCCCCGCCTCTTAAGCCAAGCAACCCATCTCGCACAAGCGCTCCGCTGCCCCCGCCGGCGCTGGCGCCGGCGCCGGCGCTGGCGCTGGCGCGGGCGTTGGCGCGGGCGTTGGCGCGGGCGCCGGCGTGGGGGTTGCGGCAGGCCTGGGCCCAACTTGGAATACGCCATGGAAAGACGTTAAGGCAGAACAAGACCAGGATTGCACAAGTCGCAATTGGCTGCATCTGCTCTGACGAGGCTGAGCAAAAAGGAAGATACGGAAAAGGCGTGCGCTGAGGCCCTTATGGAGTCCAAATCTCGCTCGGTCTGTCTCTGGTTTAACCAGGATGGACGTAACCCTCCAAATAGGCTGCTTGAATGTACTGGACAGAGCGCGTTCTCGCTGACGCTGCTGTCTCTCAGCACTACCGCTTTTTGAGCGGTCTTTGGCAAAAAGGGTTCCCTCACCCCGCATCACGCAACCCGAAATTGAAAAGAAACCGATTTCAGCCGCGCACTTGCTATTCATCGCACCCACACTGTGAGAAAGATATGCACTCCTCGGGACAACCTACCATTCTTCAACACCATCTGCCGAAAATGATGGCACCGTGATAAAGAACGTTCGCCATCAATGGAGCCAACATGCCCAACATCACAAGCTTAAATGGTCAAGGGAACTCGCTATCAATCATGGCAAAGGTCCCCGGGAAACGAGCACCCACTGGCAGAATCAGCTACAAGCCTACCAAAATCAGAGTTGCATGCCCTTGGTCAAAACACTCGCTAGTCACCAACCTACGGAGAAAAAATATTGAAAAAAAATGAAAAATAATAACTGGTCAAACAACCCGCTATTCACCAGAACACCCCAAAAAACGAGAAAAATAACAAAATCTATTCGCCAACCTAGGGGAAACAAAGAAACCCTGGTATCCATGGAACCCACATGGGTTCAAGACTCGGACCAGGAACCTCGGCAGTTGACGCGCCCATCGGACCCGCCGGCAAGCCTCTCGTCGGGGTTGTCCATTGGATGACACATGAAACGTTCATTGTCCCAGAATCTTCGGCACTCGCCCAAAACCACCCCCTCCCAAAACAAAATGTGATTTTTTTTTTTTTTTAATTAAAAACAAAAAAAAGTGCAAGTAAGAATACAAAAGGGTACCTATAGTACGGAACCAACACGCCCAAGGGTTTTTTGGAGCGTTTGCAGAAACCAAATCAATGCTCAAAAAGCTCTCCTGTCCTCAAGGCCCCCACTCTCGGCTCGACTCCTGACACGCAAACGCGTGGACAGACCCTGGGCTCAAAGGGATCTGGAACAGGTCTGCGGGAAACGGAATCCACGAATCTGTGATACGGAAAGGGCTTCCCCAAGACTACTTTCTTCATATAAAGGAAAAGATTCCCAAAAGTATCACAGAAAAGTGGGGAAAACACCCCTTGATCCCACAACCCTGATCTGGAAACACTTCAAAAGCCCACTTAGCCCAAGTGGTCCCCTACATCTTGGGATCGCCTGGAATCCCACAAGCCGACCCAAACTCATGGCTCGAAACTCGGACACGTTCCCGGGGTGCAAGAGCCGGCTTTCGGGCTTTCTCCTTTCGGGATGGGTTGGAAAGCTCCCCGTTTGCTCCTGCGCTCTGGTCCTTCAGAGGCGTTTTGCTCGGGCCCAGCCCTCCCGAAAAATCCGATGCCGGAAGAGTCTGATGCACGGTGTGCGGCAACATGTCCGACGATGTGGACAGCTGGTTCCCCAACCGCCCAAAACCTGCAACAAGAAACACACCTGTTCGAAGCCCTGTCCACAGCCGCGTGTGCAAAAGAAAGAGAGAGAACAGGCGAGGCGAAGTCATAGTTCTATGGGGTACCTTCCCCATTCTTTCTAACGATCCTTCTTTCTAAAAAACCTCCAGAATCCCAGGAAAAAAGGATCCTTCTTTCTGAAAGGAGCGATGGTTGATAAAAGAATGGACTTCGGAATCAACCTAAAAAGTCGTCCAACACCTCAATCCCTCGCGGCCCGGCGCGGGCTTTTGCGAGGTACTCTCCTTTCCCGGCAGCGAGACTCGGCTTCTGGGCTTCTGAGGCAGATCCAAGGTGGACTGGCGAATCGTGGCCAAACGCTTGGGTTTTCTCCACGTGGCTGCTCAGAAATGGGGTAACCCCAAAATAGCGCCTGGTCTGGTGAATGGAACGGACGAAAACCTGTTGTTTTTCTGGTGGTTTAATTTTGACCCACGCCCATGTCAGATTGAGGGCCCCTTAAGCCTTTCAAAGAAAGCTGAGTCATAATCAAAACCCTACCCAGAATCATGCTTCAAGAATCAAGAAGGCAGCTGTTTCTGGTTGGCATCGTCCCTTACTAACCTTAATCTACCAAAGAATTTAAGCAAGTGGCTCACCTGGAAATTAAAAAAAAACACCTGGCGGGTCTCCCCGGCCAAAAAGTGAAACGTGACGACCCTTCCCCGGCAGGGCAACTCGTGAAACTGGCGACGGGGCGCAGGTATCAGCCGGGCTCCGGGAAGATTTCCCCGGCGACAAGCCGAAAATGTCATGCGCACTTGGGAGACTCGGCCAGGCAGGTGTAAACAAAGACCAGCCTCTGTTCAGGGACCCAGATGGTGGAAAAGTGGCAAACCTTCCGTTTTGGTCTTCCTTTTGGTCTAGTGGAAAGGCTCATGTCTATTTGGCCAAATTCCCGGCAGGGACACCTTTTTTCCAGAGCCCCCCCCTGCTTTTTCGCAAGCCTGCGTCCGTCCCAGAAACAAAATGGCACGGCACCGGGCCTGCGGGATCGACCTGATTGGCAAGATGCCAATAGGCAATCGGTAGACCGCAACCTCCGGAACCCGCCGGGTTCGAAAGGGCGCGCAAGGTCTTTTCTTCACCAAAGATGGTTGTGCGGTTGTGGTCAGGTCTCTTCTTCGGTCGCTGCAGGTTCCGGTTGCGAAATTCGTTCGGAAGGATAAGGACCCCGTTTTGACCCCCCCCCCCCCCGCCCCCGCTCTTTGCTCTTCGACTTTTCGATGTACGGGTGAAGACAGATTAACCAGGGGGGTCGGAACTTAGGATCCTCCGGGAAAAAAAGAAAGCGGCTCTCATGCTCAACACGCGAGCTGTCAACTCAGTCAACTGTCCACAGCCATGCTCGAAAATCCCGAGGGTGATGAACATTCCTACCAACCCATGGGTGTGTCTAGAAATAGGGAACCCCAATGAGTTTCCTTGCTGGTGCTCAGCAGGGAGCGCAAGGTTCCTCTTGGTTCCATTCACCCCCAAGACAGGCATGTGGCGCAGAATCTGACTGGGGTGTGGGCGTCAGGAGGCCGCCTGTAACTAAGCCTGGGGACCAAACACTCTTGGGAAATTGATTCCCTTCAAACCCAAGGAAAACTAGACATGGCTGTGGGTCAAAAATAGGGTAAGGCCAAAATGGCACCCTGGTAAATGGAAACAGTGACTAAAACCCGTGGTCCCCTGGTGGCTTAATTTTGACCCATACCCACATGTTTTGGTGGTCTTATTTGGCAAGGGATCTTCCCTTCAAACCCAAGAAACAACTACAAGACATAATCTCAGCTTCCCCCCACATTGGTTGGAATTGGTGGTTTGGTGGTCTTACTTGGCAACGGATCTTACCTTAGAGATATCTTGAACGCTCTACAAGAACCAGGGGTTCAGATTTCGAAACCACCAAGCCGAACCACCAATAAATTTTCAGGGGTGCCTAACAATAATCTTAAGTTCTTAAGCCAATGGAAAACAGAAACTGGTCGCTTCTTGTTTGCCCAGACATCCATCACACACTGAGGGTTCGTTGTTGATCGAGGTCGGCCCCATCGGCCCATCCATCAACACCTACGCGTGCAGCAATCCGCCGACATGGGATGCCTTGGAAGGAAAGCTCGATGGTCCACACGCTTGTTTGTGGCATTCCCATTGATTGTCTTCCAAAAACCTGTTCCAAAACCCCGCAAAAAACAGGGCCCTTCCGGATTTTTCTCAAGGGAAATCAGCTCAAGGCCTCCTTTTTCAGGGGATCCAGTGCAACATCTAGTTGGACGAACTGTCGCGAGCCACCCCATTCCACCATCTGCAGGCAAAAAATCAACGATCTGCTCGCCGGGGGAAAAAGGCGCTTCGTGCTTGCAACCCGAGCAACGGCTTTGCTTGGCAGCGCCGGCTTGCAATCTCCAGCATCGCTCGCACCAGCTTTCAGCTGATCCGAAGATGCTGCGCGCAGTGCATGCTGAAAAAAAAGACCCATGCGTTTTGATCCGGAAAAAGGTGGGATCGAGGCTAATGGTAGTTCATCTCCCTTGTGAGATGGCATAGGAATCGAATCTGCAGCAAACCCAAGCACAGTTCTTGGTCGACCAGATGGGCTTACCCCGTCGCTTTTATCGAGGGGCACCACTTCTGGTCAACCCAAAGACCTTTTAGAGGCTCAAAATCACTCGCTCCCAGCGCGGCAGCATGACGACCATCGCATCCCGCAGAGAAGTGACCTGGAGAGACATGAGCGGTGCGCTCGAGAGGGTTTTGGAGTTCTGTCTGGGGCACGGGGCCCTTATGGAGAGGAAACAAGACAACATCCCTTTTCAGCTGCCTGCCAGGTGGCAACAAATGAGTGTGTCTTTTTTGGAGGATCCCCAAAATCGTGGCTTTCCTTTCGGCGTCCCTTGAAAAAGATACCAAAAACGGATACCCTTCAAAAAGACGCCCCCAAATTTCCCCGCAGAAGAAGGGCAGGCGCTCTTCTTGGTCTACTCCCTGCTTATTCCGGCCTTCGCCCAAAAAACGGATACCCTAAGACACACCCAAGTCCCCCCGAGGAAGCAGGCGCTTTTGGTTGGTCTACTCATCCCCTTCCGGCCTTCACCTGACCCTGCAGCAACTGCAGGATGTCGCAGTGGGAGTCCTCAATGTTGGCCCGCCACGCCAGATCCTCCGCGGTGCTGCCCAGACTCGTCCTCCTCGCCGAAGGACCGAGCGGCACGGGTCGCGGAAAACTTTTTTTCCGCGGGCACAAAGAAACCTCCCAGGGCTTTTCAGTGGCCTTGGATTGCGAGGTGGCCAAACCATCTTGGGGACATGTTTTTTGTTTTAAGCCGGACATGTGGTTGGTGTGTCTTTTTTGTGGGCCTGTTTTTGGTGCTGCTTTTTGGGGAAATCAAAAAGGAACACCGAAATCCATGTTGGGTCCCAGTCCGATTCTCTGAGGCAAAGACACGCGCCACCCACATTGCATCCAGACCCATAACCTATGAAGCGGTGGCTAACATGTGGGGGTCTTCTCAAAATGATGGACCCCCTTCAAAGATAACCCAAAAGGACACCAACCAGTTTTGGGTGCCCAACTTGTTCGAGAACCACCCGTGTGATCCCAAGAAGATTTGTTTTCCGCGATGGAGAATTTGGGCTCCCTCCATGCCCAACTGGATCATTACCTGCCAGGTGGCTAGTTGCTCAGGTAAGCGGCCTCTGCATGACCCTTTGGAGGGGAGTCACAAAATGTCTGCCCAAATCCATGGAGGTCGGAAACCAGTTCTGGCCGAACCGAGTTCTGGCCGGGACTGGCCCTACCCCTCTACCCGGGTTTTTGGATTCGGGTTGCCTTCTACCCAGGTTTTGATTCGGGCTGCCTCGGAATATGTTTCTTTTCGAATGACACTTACTTTAGACCCTGTGCTTCTCGCTCGCAGGGAACGACGGCACGAGCGAGCACCCAGCCAAAACAAGCTCAATGGCAATGCGTTCAGAAGGCGGCTGAATGATTTCCCAAAACAGCGAGGAAATCCATGAGAGATCTTTGATCCCCGGTATGTTTCTTGCCTTTATCTCTTCCGAACCCTTGGTATGATAGCAAAGAACTGTTCTTTGCAGCCCCCAAATAAAAGCAAACACCAAAACAACTTGCCAAGAACAGCGAAGATCTCCTTTCTTTCCGGGATGACGGAAATCTCAAAGGAAGATCCGAGCCGTCGCGCCACTTCGCCATTTCCCCCCGCTTCACCGCGTCGCCTGCTCGGGTTCGCGCCAGCCGCAAGCAGAGCGCGCACCACTCTGCCATCCCCGATTTCTGCCGCCAGGTGGATGGGCGTCAACGCCTCTCCGGCGAAGTCCCGGTAGGAATGCCTCTTCAAGCAAAGAGAGAGGTCTTTGACTGTGGCCCGGACACTTTCGCATGGGTTCGTGTCTGTGGTTGTTTCAGTTGCTTCATGTATAAACCAAAATTGAAAACCCTGAGGTCACCCGAAAGGCCCTCCGGTGTCACCGTGTGTGATAGCATTTTGGATGGCCCTTTGTTCAGATCCCGACCCACGCCAGTCAACACAAGGAAGCAAAGGACCAACTCAAAGAGCACCGGTGGCAAGCAAAAGAAATGGCCATTATTGGTTGGCAAGGGTCCGGGAAAGCCAGTTTGGGGGTTGAGGGAAACCCGCCTGCTTTGGGGATTCTCCAAAAGTCGGAGAAAACAACCGTACCTCGCAATAACATGGAAGTCAGCGAAAATCCTTCCTTCTTCCAAGACAAAATCTGTGCACCTCCAGGTTACCTACTTTTTGGGGTTCCCCTCTTCAGAAGACAAACCCAAAGACCCAGCAACATCATGTGCTCCCCGTGACCTGAGATCGTTGCCTTCGATTTTCTCTGACTTGGGTCCGTCCCTTTGCTCTCCCAACCCGGACCCCCCGCCCCCCCCCCCGGGCAAAACGAACCCCAGTTCGGTTTTGTCTGGCTGGATTTGAGTCGGTAGATCCTCGCCGCCCAACCGGACCCCAACCCGCCGAACATATCAACATATCCCCACCCGCCATCTCCCCCCCCCCGCCGCGAAAGGAAAAAACCCGCGGAAGGAAGCGGCAGGAAGCCCAAGGGGCGGATCTCGGGACCCGTACTCCTCCAGGAACTGCCGCAGAGGTCGTTCCCGTCTCTTCGTCAGCTGCAGAAGCCTCGCGGCCTTCATGGACTCCCGCGGCGACCGGGGGTCCTCCAACTTCAAGAAGGAAACAAGAAGAAAAAAAGGAAAAGACAAAGAAAAGAGAAAGAAAAGCAACTCCCCCCTGTTCAAAGTGATGTTATTGTGTCTGTGCACATGTCCTAAGGGATTAGTTGATGTTGTGTTTTTGTTTTTCTTTTGTTGGGGGGGGTGCCACGCTCACTGGAGCTGTTCCGTTTCTATTATGTCTTGTTGTTTTTTGCTGGTTGTTGTTTTGTGCTTTTTTGTTGGATTTTTTTTATTTTTTTTCACAACTCCCCCCTGTTCCTCTTTTTTATGTCCCAAGTGATTTTTGATGTTGTGGTTTTCTTTGTTTGGGGGGGGGGCCACGCTCACTGGAGCTCTCAATGGTTTGCTTGCGAATTGCGGCATGCCGCGGCATGCCGCGGCATGCCAAGTTGAATTGGTGGGTGGTGCTCCTGGTTTCTTTCAACTGCTGCGCCATCCTCATTTAGGGAACACCCTCACCTCACACCCTCACCTCCATTTGCTCAAGCCCCCTGGAAAACACAAATATGTCCAGTAGTGATAGATTCCCTTTTCAACCAAAGCGGGAAAAATCACAAACATATCCTTAAGCCAATGCAAGCTCAGGGAAAAGACTACATCCTAGCTCCAAATAACAGGAATGACTAGGCCCCCGGACCCACAAGTGCCATTGTGAGATCCAAACGATTTCGATTTCGATTCAGATTCCCTTGCCTGTAACACTCGGTTGCTTTCTTCTCCCCCACTAAAAGCTTAACTTTTACTGGTTTAATTCGGAAAACCCATTAGTTGGCAAAAAGTTGAAGTCCTAACATCCAAGCAAAGTGCACCAAAGTGTAGTTCACAAGAAAGGGGCCCACAGAAAAACAGAAAGGGGCCCACTGAAAATCAAACATCTTCTGACTCTGCTCCATTTTTAGTCTGAGGAGACCCTAGGCTTGCCCGCTTTGGAGCTACGGGAGGTCGCTGTGGGTGTTTCTCAGTGGTCTCCGAAGATGCTTTGGTTTCCGGTTGTTCTCCCTTGAACTACAAATCACAAGGGGTTTACCATCGTGAGAAACCATATCGACTGTTTGACACTGCATACGCAAGCCCAAGTGGAGTCTCATGTGCTCCTTCCAGACTGTTAGTTGCCACGCACCAACAGGACCGGACTCGAGGGATCCATGCCCAAAATGCGGAATTCTGAAACGCTTGAAGGATCACTCCGTGGCGAATAGGCTCGCAAATATGTAAGGACAAGCAACAAGCAAGCATATTGTCAAGGAGACAGCGCATGAGGATTGATTGACACCGATCAGCCACCCCTTCCCCTTCCCAACCAGCGCCTGGCAATCCAAAATGCTACAGCATCCGGTCATGGACTCAGGTTCGTCTGGCGATCGCCCATGAGCTTTCGAATCAGAAAGCTGCGGCGAGCACAAGGAAGGCGGCAATCCGATCCACCACACCCTTTCCGTGAGTCCCACATGTGGCTGCCTGCGACATCTTGATATGAGAGAACAAGTTGCAGTTCACAACCCCCTGCGGATTGCCCAAGGTATTACAAGAGAACCAGCCACTGTGATTCCTTTCAAGCCTTGGTTTCCCACAGACCTTCCATGCTCTGAACCAACCCTTAAGAACCCACCCAGGCCATCATTGTCCTATGCTGGAAAAGTGGCGGAAACCCCACGAACCTGGGCTTCACGTTCGTTTCGCGGGGCCGAAGGAGAACAAAAAAGGGTGACTCTGCCTGCGTGAGGGGCGGGGGAAGAGCCGGATGCCTCCCACGTTCACTCGGAACCCCTCCTGGCAAAACGGGGCGCAAAGAGAAGTGAAACTACCCTCCCAGCCTTTTCACATGGAGCCGTTCGACGTTCGGAACCCCTTCAAAAGGAAAATGGTCCAGGCCAGGGCATGGTAAACTAAACCTCTTCGCTCAGGATCTTGTCCCCTTGCAGTGCGAGAGGGAATGCCCGGAGACAAACCATCCCTTGTGGTTTCCTTTAAAGGAACCCCCAGGTTCATTCCCTTATTCCCTACTGATCGCAACCCCAAGTCATTAATCCGCATATTTCACTATAATTCTAAAAGCTGAATTTTCAGAATCGGATCTCCAAGTAAAGGACCTTGATCTTGGCTTTCGCTCGTTGTAAAATGGGCAGATCAATGGGACAAACCGATATTCAACGGCCTCGGGCCCCCCGCCTCTGACTTCGGCTTTCCCAGCAGCACCACCACAGGGTCTGACTCTTTGATGCCAGCTTCACCTCTTCGAATGCGATGCTGCGGCCGGGCTTCCGATTGGTGAGGATGCCTATTAATAATTATCAGTATGATGATGATGATGATGATGATGATGATGATGATGATGATGATGATGATGATGATGATGACGATGATGGCGATGATGGTGGTGGTAGTGGTGGTGATGGTGGTGCTGATGATGCTGCTCTGATCATCCAGTCAACCTTTGAGCAAAGCCTACGTAAAGTGACGTGAGTCACCGCCAATTTATACCACAATTAGAGTAATATGCCCAAGATGTCAAGAGCTTCTTGTTTCCATGTTGGGAATCGCTCAAACTCAAACTCCCCAAGGCGAGCAATCACCGGCCGCTTGCGTATCTATATATATATATATACTTGTGTTTTTGCATTTGCATGCGCTTCTATTGTTGACCCCAAATGAATCAACTCCGGTTTATTCATAGTGGTCTGATCCCCCGCTAAACCCAGAAACACCCCTATTGAAATGCAGGGGCGAAAAAATCCCGGGTCAACAACATGCACAACACCCAGCCCAAAAGTACTGGTCGCACAGGCAATAAATCATTGGAGATCCGACTGGTTTTCGGGCACATGAAATTTGTGAAGCAAACGAGGGGCGGCGGAAAATTAGTGGCTGGGACAAGCCAACAAAAAGCCCGGTGGCCGGAACAGCTCAAGCAGAACCATGCAAAAGCGGGCCCATCTCTCCCAAAGAAGTTGGAAAGCACCACTGATCCTCTCTGTGGATGGTTAAGGCGCTGGTTGCTGAACGGGCTGAAAACGTTTCAATCCGGGCAAATGACCATACTTCTAAGACCAAACTCGGTTGCTTTCTGCTCCCCTGAAAGTTTAACTGGTTTAATTCGGAAATCCCATCAGTTGGCAAAAAAGTTCAAAGTCCGAACCTCCCTTGGCAAAATGCAACAAAGTACCCATTCCCGTCCTCTTTGGACGCTTTCTGGCTAGCAAACCCATCAGTTGGCAAAATGCCTTGACCAAAGCCGAAGATGTAAAGGGACCGCCGGCTGTCTGGATCTCGCATCGATCTTCCCAACCCGCAATCTCGAGCAACTGGGCTCGCGGCTCACGGTGGTGTCATCACCCAACACCCTCAGCCAGCGGCGGCTGAAACGGAGATGTCCGGCTAAGACGGCCCCTAGATCCTCCAGAGAGGTGGCCTGTTGGAAAAATAGATGGGTTTCACTGGTAAATGGAACAAAACCCATCTAAACCAGTGGAACCCATCATTTTTAGCCAAACTAACCTGAAAAGGAAGCCTATGCTCCAGTAGAGAGGCTAGAATAAGAGTACAATCTTTTCTTTCTGTAGTCTATTTTAGTCGGGGGACCCTCCCCCAAAAAAGCGTGAAAGGGCACCTAGCTGGGGGACCTAGGCTCTAAAGCCCAAGCAAAAGCACCAACTACCATGAAATTGCAAAGAGAAAGTGAAGTTGTAATGACATGTCGAAGGCGCTCCATCAACGACCAATTGTGCGACGGGTGGGCGAAATGGTGGAGCAGTATCAGGCGATATGCAAAACCCTCAAGGCCAAAGCAGTGAACCCTGTCTTGCCGTTTGCTTACCCAGTCAAAACCGACTTTCGTTACCATGCACTGACCCCTTTTCAGGAAGTTAGTCGGCTTCTGTCAGCTGAGCACAGCACGAAACTCCCTTGGCGTGGGAAAATCTCTGTCTAGCCCAGCGTCTACTTCCATTTGCTCAAGCCCCCCTGGAAAAAATGACCAGTAGTAATAGATTCCCTTCAAAACCAGCCAACGACGATTCGTCCATTTGCCAATACGCCTGGAAAAAAATGAGTGAGAGAATATGCCCAATAGCTTCCATTTGTTTAAGCCCCCTGGAAAAAATACAAATATGTCCAGTAGTGATAGATTCCCTTTAAAACCAAGAGGGGAATATTAAATACATACACAAATATGTTCTTAAGCAAATAGAAGGTCGTGAGAAATGTCCTTTAAAACCAACAAGAAGCATAAAGATCTGCTTAAGCTCCTGGAAGTATTTCAGCAACCATCCCCAAATGGCCACCCAGCCAGCAAAAGAAGTCGCGTCTGCAAAAGCTGCGCACGGACCAGACCCCACGAGCCGCGCGAGCCAGCAAAGACGCGCGCGCTCTGAATAGAGCCAATGCGTAGGGGCCATCATGTGTACGACGCATGGCACGAAGGGGAGGTTCATTCCAACCTGAGACATGTAGAAATGACTGGCCTTCCGGCTTCGATGCGAAGAATCAAGTATTGCCATGCCCCTCCCATGCCCACACGCATGCGAATTAGAAAACCAAAATCCAAAAGGTCTTGCCATGTTATCAAATTGGCATGTTCCTCAACTCGGGTTGAAAGGTTTTGTTTTTGAGGGAATCCCAAAACCCCTTCTGTGGCCTTTTTCGGCGAGCAACCAGTCAACTCGGCTCGTTTCACGGAGCCCGTTGAGTGGTTCCGACATGGGTGGCTCGTGTTTTTTTTCTTCAGGAATCGGACCCACCAAAATGGGATTCCTTTTGGTTTCCTTTGGTTGCCCCTGGAAAAACCACCCAACAATTGAGGCGGCGTGGAGGGGGGCAAAAGCAAGTGGATTCCTTTTGGTGTCTCTTTCGTTGCCCTGTACCACCACTAAACAAAAAAAGGCCGGGCCGGGGCGTGAATCACCGGGGAAAACAAATAAACAAAAACATACAAAACACCAAAACCTCCGATTGAACCCGAAAATGACCAATGGATTCCTTTTGGTTTCCCTTTGGTTTGCCCGTTTGCCCCTTTAAGCAGGGGGGAAGGGCGGTGGCGAACCACCGCAAAAAACCGACCAAACCTCCAGAGCTTTGGATCTCCAATGCTTCACAACAAGTGGACTCCGGTTGCCCCTGTACCACCACTAACAAAATTCCCGGGGGTGGTGAACCACAAAAGGAAACCACTGCTTCTCTTTCGTTGCCCTATACCCCCACTAGACAAAAAAAGATCCAGAAGGCGGCGAACCACCGGGGGGGGGGGAACAAAAAAGAGGGAACAAAAAACCGCCCAAAAAACGCCTCCGAGCCTTCGACTTACCCCTTAAACTCCAAGCCCTGGGGAAGTTCTCATCTTGCACAGACATATAGCCCATGTCATCCCCCAAAAAGTTGAGAAAAGTTTTGTGTTTTTAAGAGGTAAGTCGATCTCCGACGGAATTTCGCCAAAAAAAAAAAGTCCAGCGGCTTCCCGGCGTGCAGCAGCTTCTGCAGCTCCGAGGGGAAGTCCGCGCGCGCCTCCGCGATCGCCCGCCTGAGATGGGCCCCCAGAAAAACCCCCCTCGGCGCCTGGGGAAATGGACGGGGGGGGCGAGAAAACTGTGGTTCAAGCTGCCCCTCTCGACTGGTTTGGAAACTGCAGGCTGAAAGAAAAAACAAGAAACCTTGGCAAAGTTTGAAGAAACTGCGGAGGTATGGGCAACAGCAAGCGTTTCGGAGGCATTTGCCCATATGTCTAGAAGGGCAATGACAAGCAACTGAAGTTAGGAGGTTCACACATCACAAGGCTATCTAAATCACAAGGCTCTGCCAGCAAGTCGAACAGGGGCTCTCAGGCATCCTAACCGTAAGCTTTCCACTCCAATGCTGCTAGGGCGGGAGGGGGGTCCCAGTTTCCCTCAGTCACTCCACCCACTTTAGCTCCTGGAACCTCAAAGGGCAACGCCTTCAGCTTTCATGTTGGACCTGATTTTGTAAGGACCTGATTTTGTAAGTGGGACCTGGACCTGTTGTAGCTTTCATGTCTTCCAAATTCAGGATCCGCGACGGTTCTAGGGGGTTCAATAATACAAGTCTATTTTCCCAAGAGAAACTGCTGGCAAACAAACATGCAAATTGCCGCTTACCTTTCGGTTTATCTAAGTCATTCCCAGCTCAGAAGCGATAGCTCTTGGATCTAGGAAAGTCAATTTTGCAATTGGTCATCAAACCAAATGTAGGATATATATATATATATATATGGTACCCCCATGACCCAGGTTGTGTGAGTTTGAGCTGTGTGGTTCCAGTAGTTTACCATATATATATATATGATAACAACACAAGCCCAAACAGTCGCAAAGCCGGATGTGCACTGGAGCTCCTGATCTGATTTAATATGACTGCGGGGTGTTCTTTGGTGTCAAAGTCTCAGCCTTTTACTTTTAAAGGGAGGTTTACCCCAGGCAGTACGAGGGAATCCTCGATCCAGTCTTGGCATGACTAAATTTAGAGCTGGCAGTACTAAAATCAAGTATTGGGGAGCCCCCAAGTCCAACCCGGACCACCCCCCCAACCCCCCACTGTTTCAAGGGGCAGGCACATCAAAGATGGTCAAACAATATTCGAGTCGGAGGAACATCTGAGCTTGGGCGCATACGGGTCATGCCTCGCCAAGAAACTCTTGGGACGATCAAAACTCTCCGGCTAGTAGAGCCTTCTTAGAAGAGGTTCCGACCAAAGGCTTCTGGAACCACAAGGCTTCTGGTTGTTTGGGGGGGGGGGGCGACTTGAGAACCAAATCAAGTCATAAGAGAAGAATGTGCAATTTCTAATAAGAGGCTACATGTGTATACACTTCCTCCCGCTAATATGAGAGCTGTAAAAACTGGAAGCTTCCTCTTGGAGGGACTTCTTGTCAGGATGCGGTGTACCCTCCCCCCGACTAACATGAAAGCTCCCAGGACCACTTTCGAAGATTTGGTTCCATTTGCAGAGCCCTTCTGATACTTGGTTGACGTTGGGTTTGGGGAGCAACAATTCTCAAGTTTTAGCAATTAAGTGGATTTGGATTTCAACCACTAAACCACAATTTGCGCAACAAGGTTTCAAATGTTTCCCAACAACAACCATGGAGTGGACAGACACTGTTGGTCTAGGGATCTGGACCCCAAACACTTCAAAAGCCCACTTAGCCCAAGTGGTCCCAGTACACCATGGATAGATGCTAGTCTGACGGTAGAACCAAATCAAGTCATGTGTACCCTTCCTCCCACCTTGCCATTGCACCTGTGAGGCACCTAGAAGCTGATTCACAACCCTTACGTATGGATGCAAAAAAAAAGTGATGCCTTTTGCAGCCCACCAAAAAAAAGAAAAGAAAAAGAAAGAACCAACCAAAAGCTTGATCCAAGACAAGAATGAAACTTGGGAGGGCTTCTTCCCCCCCTTTCCTGTGTGAGCCCCCGCCCCTGTCCGCCAATCCAATCCCTGGATCGCTCGCTTTCTACATCTCTCGCAACCGCGCGAACCGCTCCGAGGGGCTTCAGCGCCCTCACCGTCTCCTCAGCCAGGATCTCCACGTGGAAGGCCGCGCCCTTCACGGGCCGCACCTAAGGACCGCGGCTTCCCGGCCGGAAGCGGAGCCACCCGGAAAAACGAGGCAACGGCCGCCCAGGGAGGGTTTTGGCTGCGCCGCGCTTTTTTTGTCACATATACATAAGCATACAATATAGAGGAAAAAGTCTGAGGTCTCTCTATTTATATGTATGTGATACTGTATGTTTGATGTGTGCGGCAACTCGGTGTCGCCGGCCGGTTGGTCCACCGGCCGGTTCCAAAAGCTCCCCTTGATTAAACCGAATCGCCACTCGGCGTTCAAGGCCAAAAGACAACGCGGAAACCCAAGCCAAACGGGTCCAAGGCGGTGCCAAAAACCTGAGCCATGGACTTGGCTTTGTGCGCAGGAAACACGAGTTGGGGTTCGCCTGAGTGGACACCCCTTGGGGCCCGGTTTCACCTGAATTCTGTCCGGCAAAGGGTCCCCAATTTGAATAGCATGCCCATATTTTACGTGGGTGTTCTGTTGCCACCCTAGTAAGCTAGTTGGCTTATTCTAGTTTACACCCCAGGTTGAAGGTCTCAAAGTGTGGAGCTCACCCCATCCTTGGTTTCAAGCCAGGGGCGCTAGCCAGTCACCAACTTGGCCAGCCGAACATCCAAGTGAAGCCGACCCGAAATCAGATCCAGCTGCAGGCGGGTCGCTGTGACCTTCATCTAGCGGCCTCGGTGAAGGCTTGGGTCAATCTGAAGGATCCCCCCAAAAAAGCGGCCCCGCCCATTTGAAGCCTGTGTCTAGCGGTTTGCTTCCCCTGAAAAAAACACGCCGAAGGGTGGTGTTGCGAACAACAAACGCACCTGGCTGGTGCTCTGACCCCTATAAACCATCCCGCGTGGCTTTTCCTTTAAGGGAATCCCTGGCTTCATTCCCACATTCCCTGAGCACCAGCAAGGAAAGAGTCCCCAAAAAGAGACCCCATTGAAAAAAGAAAAAACAACTTCCCCCGAAGGGTAGATCCATTTGCCACCTCAAAACCTCTTTGTGGTATCCAGCGTGGAATGCGGGAGCCGGCCGCAGTCCAACAAGCCCATCTCTTTGACATAGCCGTCCTTTTCGGGGAAATAGATGGGTTTCCCTGGTACATGCTTAAACCACTAGGCAAACCAGGAATCTATGTTTCGACCAAAACAACCAAAAAAGACACCTATGACTCTTTGACAACCCCTGTATCCTTCTTTTGGAACCGAGGCGCCCCCCTGCCCCGCCATCCGGCGAACGGCGTTTTAGGCCCACCGGCCGGCACGCCCATTGGGAGCGCTCGAGCCAAACCCGAGCGTGCAGGGCGCGGGGGGTGCGGTAACGCCCTCGGCCTAAATGATTCGAATCAACTTGGGTACGTTAACACCAGTCATAATTCTTGGCTGGAATTAGCAACAAAAATACAAGGGGAACTAATTCTGGGGAAGGAATGATTGTGCAGGTGTAACATTGTCCATTTTTAACATGTAAATATGCTTCGCCCTTACAAATACACAAGAATTGTAAGCAGTCCGCGTTCGGAACATGCGCTTTGCGCAGCGGCATCCATGTGTATGTTCCTTTTCTACCAGCGAACCTCTCACTAAAAACTATGCGACTTTACGACATGTGCAGGACGAAACAGCGGCGTATAAACATGTGCACGTTGTTCGATCTCAGATTAGGTTACTGTTGCCACCCGCAAATCTCACAAACGCAGACCCACACACCCACACAGACAAACAGACGCACACACACTCACACACACACACACACACACACACACACACACACACACACACACACACACACACACACGCATGGCTGCCTGACACAACACAGCTCCGGAACTTCTCCAAAGGCGCCTTAATTACCCAAGAGGCAATCAAAGCAAACAAGAGGCCAGGCCCTGACATTCCAAATTCTGCATCTATTCATTCATCTGTTTGCTGTTTGCTTGATCTGGAGTCAAAAGTGCGACTAAGCGTGTACCCAAACTCTGCCGCCATCTTTGCGCAAGCAGAGGCCGCCTTTTTTGCGCGTCCTCGTAGCCTTCGCCGCGGAGCCTGGCCATGTCAGGGACGGTCTGTGACTCCACAGGCCATGTCGGCGGCGGCGGCTGATCACAATCAAATGGTCCACCCAGAACCATGCCTCAAGAATTAAGAAGGCGGCCGCAGCTATTTATGGTTGGGATTGTCCCTTCCCAACCTTCATCTACCCGGGTGTTGATTGTGGCTCGCGTGAGCCTTCTGGATCCAAACTTTTCGAGATGCTAGCCCGAAACGAAAAAAAAAGGTTGAAGAAACCGCAGACTGCCCCAAAGTGGACATCAACGGCAGATCTCAGGCGAGGGAGCTGGTGACTCTTGCTGGTGCGATAGGCAGGGAATGAGAAATCGACTGACCCCGAGAGCCCATTCTGTGTGGCTTCCTCTTCTCGGAACACGACTTCTTCATTCCCCACACCCGGAAACTCGCCGAGTCAATTTCCTACAGATACCAGGGATCGCAAGAGGCGTGTGAGCCAATGGATTCAGCTTCCTTCGCGCCTTTGCTCCCCGCCCAGGAACAGCAACCAAAGGCACACTGGCAGCCAGTGTACCGCCACGGCTGCCCAAAGGCTACCTTCAAATCGAAAACCCCTGCAACGAGCCCAGTGAGTCCAGAAGTAGGAACATCCGCCCCACCGAAATCTTGTATGTGAGGGTGTCTCTTTTTTGGGACCCCTCCCCCTCAAAAGAAAACAATGTGTTCCTTCTGGTTTTCCCTTTGAAACAACCACAAAAAACGGTGCCCTAAAAATAATTGACACGCCCATGTAAGTGCAAGATTGACCCCCATGCCGCTTGTTTGATCGAAACAAATGGCGCCCTAAACCTCTTGGTGATGTTCTTCCAGAATCCCAAGTCCGGCGTGTCGATTTTTGTTGCTCGCGCATGCGAAGGGTTCTTCTAAAGGCGGCTGGATCTTTACGGGCAGCCATTTCCTGCAAACTTCTCGAATGATACCCCATTGCTGCCAACTTCTCCCGCCAACCTTGAGGGTGTTACTTCACCGTCCCAAAAACACAGGCTAACATCACTATCCCGAAAAACACAAGCAAAAACCTGCCAGGGAACTTTTGCCGGGGGGCTCGGAGCATGGAATTGTCACTTTTCCATTCTCCGCAAGCAAGAGAAAAGACCAAGAAGCAAAAAAAACAAACAAAATCCGAGGACAGCCAGAAAAAGGGTTTTTCCTCCGGGTCCCTTGGGACATTTCTCGCAGTCCTGAGGCGAGGTAGACGCCGCTGCAGGCGAGGCCCAGCAGCGCCGCCAGCGCCAGGAACCGCGGATCCTGGAAGGTCCTGCGGCCCGACGCCGGCCACGCGCATAAGAAGAAAACCGAAAAGGGCAGCCGAAAGGAAAAAAAACGCGACAAACATATGTTTGTTTCTGGTTGCCCGAAAAAAAATCATGTGTGTGTATATGTAGATAGGTAGGTAGGCAGGTAGGGAGGTTGGAAGGTAGGGAGGTGGGGAGGTTGGGGGGTAGGGAGGTAGGGAAGTAGGGAGGTAGGGAGGTAGGAAGGTAGGGAAGTATCTATGTATCTATGTACCTATGTGTTTATGTATCCATGCAACTATGTGTCTATGTAGTATGTGTGTGTGTGTATGTATGTATGTGTGTCTGCCTGCCTGCCTGCCTGCTTGCCTGCCTGCCTGCCTGCCTGCCTGCCTGCCTGCCTGCCTGCCTGCCTGCCTGCCTGCCTGCCTGCCTGCCTGCCTGCCTGCCTGCCTGCCTGCCTGCCTGCCTGCCTGCCTGCCTGCCTGCCTGCCTGCCTGCCTGTCTGCCTGCCTGTGCCTGTCTGTCTCTCTCTGTCTGTCTGTCTGTCTGTCTGTCTCTGTCTGTCTATGTATGTATGTATGTATGTATGTATGTATGTATGTATGTATGTATGTATGTATGTATGTATGTATGTATGTATGTATGTATGTATGTATGTATGTATGTATGTATGTATGTATGTATGTATGTATGTATGTATGTATGTATGTATGTATGTATGTATGTATGTATGTATGTATGTATGTATGTATGTATGTATGTATGTATGTATGTATGTATGTATGTATGTATGTATGTATGTATGTATGTATGTATGTATGTATGTATGTATGTATGTATGTATGTATGTATGTATGTATGTATGTATGCGTGTATGTATGCATCTATCTATCTATCTATCTATCTATCTATCTATCTATCTATCTATCTATGTGGGCAGGCAGGTAGGTAGGTAGGTAGGTAGGTAGGTAGGCATGTATGCATGTATGCATGCGAGAGTGTGTGTGTGCGTGTGTGTGTGTGTGTCTGTATGTGTGTATTTTGTATGTATGTATGTATGTATGTATGCATGTATGCATGCCCGCATGCATGCATGTATGTATGTATGTATGTAGGTAGGTAGCTAGCTAGGTAGGTAGGTATGTATGTGTGAATGTCTGTATGTATGTATGTCTGTCTGTCTGTCTGTCTGAATGAATGAATGAATGAATGAATGAATGAATGAATGAATGAATGCATGAATAAATGAATAAATGAATGCATGCGTGTATGTGGACGTACTGTACTGTACCGTACTGCACGCACTGCACTGCACTGCACTGCACTGCACTGCACTGTACTGTACTGTACGTATGTATGCATGTATGTATGTAGGTGATAGCTAGGTATGTGTGTCTCTATTCATCTGTGTATCTATGCATCTTTGCGTCTATGGATCTATGCATCTATGTATCTACGTATCTATGCATGTATGCGTCTATGTATGTATGGATGTTGCATATACGCACGTCTGATGTAAACGCGTATGCATTTGTGTGTGTGCGTTTATGTGTGCGTACCTGTCTATGTACACATGTATGGAATGAAATGGCAGTGAGTGGAATGGAACGGAACATAACGGAATGCAATGCGGTGCGATGGAGTCGCTGTGTATATATGTATATGTATATCTTATACATATACTTTAATGCATATACATGCCACCAAATAAAAACATGGTTTGTGCTGGTAGTTATGTCTCATAAGTTCTAGGTGACACATGTACAAAATCATAACGATAATGTCCGGTTTTACTCCAAATTATTGGGGTCTTTAATCTATACACACCATTCCCCTGTTTGCTGTCTGCATTCGAAGTGTTTGTCCCAAGCGGCCTTCTTCATCTTACTTGCTGCTGTGATAGCGTCGGCTAGGATGACCAACTTGCCTCATGAAAAAGTCAAGAAACATGGGCGTCCGTGAGTTGTGATGTGCTCTATAAACAACGTTTTAGCCACCAGGTGTGTGTGTGTGTGTGTCCTTGTGCTGAAATCTGGACTCATCATTGCAAAAAAAGAAGGAAAAACAACACTCATTGAGCAGCGCCCGAATCCAATTGACTTTGGGCTCTACTAAACTAATGGTAAAGGATCCCTTCCAAACGCGCCACTTGCCCCTCTGGAAAAATCGCGTGGTTGTGGGATTCCCTGAATCACGGCAAGTGGCAACCCAAACCCCCGATGTTCCACAATCTTGGATGCCCACCCGTATGATAGACTCTTGGGGTCGCTGTTGCAGCCTCCTTCCTTAGGGGTAGAATAGAATTTAGGGTTCTTGGCTGCCAAATGACCCCCAACAGTGCACGTTCACTTTTTCGCGCTCAGTGCCGAAGCGGATGTGGCTCAAATTTAAGCAACTAGGCTAATTACGTGGGTGTTGGGCTTTGCTCCCATATTCCAAGGTGCCATGTTGGGTACCAGTTTTTGAGACAAGCCATGTCTGGCGGTGGGAAAAATCCGGTTCCGTGCAGACCCCAAATGTTCAGCAAGCCCCAGTTTATTCATAGGGGGGGTGCTTTTCCCTGAATTTAGTCGGGAATCAGACCACTTTTGGAGCTTGATGAAGAAAGGGAAGTTGTCCTTGGGTGACATGTTGGGCTCTTTGGAGGACCCCCCCCGACCCCCTATGAATAAACAGGGTTGCTGACTCTGGGCTCAACGGTTTTCCCGGTGCAGACGTGCGTGCCGCGGAGTTTTTGGAAATGTCCTGCCGCCGTCGCGGGTGAGGCCGCAGCGGGACAAGAGCTGGCCGGAGGGCAGGTGGTAGAGCACAAAGAGCGCCAGGCAAGCCAAGGCCCAGAGCCTCGGGCCATTTCTTTTCCCCCATTTGCGCCGTGCGGGTCTTCGAACAATTTTCGGGTTTTCCAGGTAAGCCCAGAATTGGGGATTTGTTTGCGCCGGGGGGGTTTTTGGGAGTCCAAGTTAAAACCAACCATCTAAGAAAAAAAGTGATAGGCCCGTGATACAATATATATATATATAACATGTTCTCTGTTTTTTCTTTTTCGGGCGTATCACCTGTGACCGGTTGATTTGGAAACCTTTCCCCTTCAAATCCCAAGATCCGGTCGGGTTCCTCCAGTGGTTAGATTCCAACACTAAACAATCAACCACCCCAAAACAGGACGCCGCGCTTGCCAGAACCATCTCCTACTTTTTTGTGGAATCTGAGGTTGACCTTCTGGGGCAGGGGGGTGGGGGGGTTATTAATCCAACGTTGACAATACAATCAAATGATTCACTAAGGCATAAGCGACAGCTAGGAAAAGAGCCCTCATTCTCAAGTCTTTAGTCGAGGAACCTTGGGTGAGGTCGCAAAGCCCCGTTTGGTCGCTTGCCAAAAGATCGTCTGCCTCGACAACTCGGAAATGCGTTTTCTTCCAACTCAGTTTAGCAGCTAGCGCGCTAGTGCAAACCTGGTCGAAGCTCTCCAAAAGAAAGCTGCACAAGGAACTCTGGCATCCGGGAAAGGGATTTGGGGGATCTTGGGGCCACGGCGCGAGCAAACCAACAGCTACCTTGGACAGGGATCCTTACATTATATACACCTGAACATTGCCTTGTAAATGGTGGTTTCCCTTTATTTTGGTGGAAAATGCCATGTTTCACATGGGCAAATTGTATCTTTTAAGGAGCTCTGTTGGAGAGCACAACTGGGTTCCGACCCTTTGGTTACACCGAGCATGCCTTTCTGTGAACAACTCCCTGGCCCTTGCCACAAGACTCCTATACCGCAAAGGAACCACTGCTGCAGCGTCATCTCGCCCAGCATGCCCCAGGCATTTGCGCCTGCCCCCCGACAGATGACCCAAACCTCCGTCGGTGCGAAGACTGCAGATGTCAGTTCCGCCGCCACCAGAAGCTCTTCCCCCCAAAAAAGGACCTGGGCGGTTCCCCGTCGATCCCCTGCCAAAGTTCGAAAACTGGACACCACTCCACGAAACCACAAAAAAAAAAAACTACTGGAAAAACCAAAAAGGCTGGCTGCTTGAAAACCACAAGCCCTGGGCCGGCAATTTGCTTCAACCCTCGGCCCTTCGCAAGTGGATCCCAAAAACGGGCCCCGACAACCGGATCTGCATCTTCCGAGCCATACTCGCGCAATCCACCTGAAACCCGGCTGCAGTCCGGAGTTCATCTTTGGATTGCGGCCAAAACCCCTCCATGCGGCCAAAACTGGCCCCAAAACTCCTCTTGTTTGGCGGGTTCCATGTGAGACCCCTCTAGGTCCTCCAGTAGAGAGGTCAGAATTACCCTTTCTTCTAAGTTTTAGGGGAGCCCTCCCCCAAAAAGGAAACGGCAACAGCGCACTGGGGGACCCAGCCTTTCTTGGACATATGGGGCAGCCCCCCCAACCCACCCACCGAACCCGAACCCGCGCCTCCCGCGGCAACTCGGCCGACTCGGAGATTCGGCCTGGAAGCCCCGCCCAGCTCCTGGCCTCCCCCTGGCGTCTACCCGGACAAAATTCCTCGACCTTGGGCTTGGGGAGCGAAAATTCTCAGAAACTTTGGCAGTTTGGTTGGATAGTTCAACCACTCAACCACAATTTGCGCCGAAAATGTGGCAAATGTGTCCCGACAACCATGAATTCGCAAACTGAGACCCACTGGGTCCAATGGAAGACCCACTGCCCCTTGCAAGATCACTGGCAGACCGCACTGAGATAACTTGTCGCACCAGTATCAAAGACGCCTCCTGAAGGCGCACAAGTCTGATGGAACTTGCATTGGTGCTGATTTGTTTAGGACATGGTTCTCTCAGAAGAAACCCAGTCATTAAATCGCTAAATTGAATGAACCACCGAAACCTGCAAGCAAGGTTGGGCTCAAAGACCCCCCCCCTTGTCGGCAGGGTTTGTCGGTCAAGCCAAATCGGTGTGAGGTCAAGCAAAAAGGGTTGCGACCAATCTGGTACCCAAACATGGCACCCAGCTCCGTCTCAGCCGGCTCAAAAGAACAGATGCCCCTTTGCGCATGGACCAAACGCGGTGCAAAAGCGCGGAAGTCACCCGTCGAAAAACGAGGGATCAACCCTTCCCTTAGAATGATGCTGATGAAAAGATACGCCAAAGAGGTGCAGCTGTCCACCGAAAGAAGAAGCAAAAACACGAAACGAGGGATCCAACCGGCGCGTAAGAAAGGCAACGATCAAGAGGACCAGACTTGCACGCTGAAAGCCGGACCCACCAAAAGGGACGGAAGTCATTTGAGGAGCCTTTGGGCTTTGGTGATTTACATAGGGATTTGGGTCAGTCTTTCTTTGAGTGCCAATTTTGGAAGGAACCAAGAAGCCACTATTTTGAACACGCCCATTTGGGTGTGGGTCAAAATTAAACCACCAGAAAAACCGCAGGTTTTAGGCCGTTCCATTTACCAGGGCAAGCTATTTTTGGGTACCCACCGCATGTGCACAAACTTTCCGCATCGCCCGAAGCCGAATCCTGAAGCCAAGCTGCAGCAGCACAGCGCGGAAGACCACCTGCGCTCTTTGACAGCTCATCTCTGGATCCGTGTGCGGTCGCTCTTCGCCCGTTTTCTGTAGACTGGACACCTCAAAAACACATACCCTCCCTCACATGAGAAGATATGGGGGTTGATCCAAAGCTCCGATGAACATGGGATGAGAAAACAACTAAACATATTCTATTTCCTACCTGGGAAAAGTTGCCCATGGTCACTCTGGGGCCAATGGAATATTGATGAACCCCCATGCAACTTCCCACCCGGCGCGTCGAAAGCAGCCGCGATTTCGACCTGGACGCCCGCCTCCTCCGCCAGGCACGGGAAGAAGAAGCACCTGAGCGCCAGCGCCAGGCCCGTGCTTGCGGTGCATGTGGGTGGCGAGGGCACCTGCGCGGGAACTCGGCTTCATGTTGACCCAGGATCCAAGTCGAACCCGTCCCAGTAGGGGGGTGGTCCCCCCCAAAAGTGGTCTGAATCCGCACCAAAAGGGGGCATCCCCCCCGGTGAAAATCAACCTGGGGTTCTGCTTCATCCGGGGTTAACCTTACTCCCCCCCCCAAAAAAAAAACCATGGAAGCTGAGGAAAGGGGGGCAGCCGACTACTTTCCTCTTGGGAGACCTACCTGTCCACTTCCATGATTCTTGGAAAGAGGGTAAAGGCCAAAATCAAAATTACTCCGGATGGTGGCGAAATCCATGTCGCACCACTTGAACAACCCTGGAATGATTTGATTCCCCTGTGAATACCAACAATGGTTTCTCATGGTGTTGAAGTGGTGCAGGATTTCGCCCATCCACTGTATGGTCTATATTCGGACCTTCATGCAAAAGTCCATTTTGACATCCCAGTATTTCGGGAGCCCTCTTGAAGTGCACAAAAGACCGCACTTGGATGAAACTCATACTGTCGCTTTCCATTTCGGCTGCTGATCAACGTTCACTCAGACAAACCGCTGGAGCCACCGCTCAAACGAAGGGCAGCAATCCAAACACATGCCTCGCAGAACCCAGCTGATAAGGGTTGTTTTTGGAGTGGGGATCCTAACTTTCTGCCAAGAGCTTTGCACCCTGAACATGAACCCTCCAAGCCCTACACCTCGGCGCTTTCGACTCTTCCGTCCTCAGCCCACTGGAAAACACATTTGGTCTTCATCCGCTCCCAACACACACAAAGCCGACCGCTTGCACGTTCCCTGTCCATGACCCAGAACCCCCAAGCTGCCAAGCGTCAACTAACAAGGAATCCACCTTGATCTCTTGAACTTTGAGCAACACCCAAAACTCGGTTGCTTTCTGCTCCCAGGCTAAAAGTTGCTTTTTAGTGGTTTAATTCGGAAAACCCAAATTAGTTGGCAAAAAGTTAAAGTCCTAACATCCCTTGGCAAGAATTCGCACCAAAGCCAAGCTTCCCCTCGGAACCGTTCGGAATTCGCCCCCGCCCCGCGTCGGTGGTAAGCCGTGCCATGGGCTTTGGGCCGAACGTTTCGGGGGCCTGTGGCCCCGCATCGAGCTCCACTGGCCCCCGATTCCTACCTGGAGTCTCCTTCTGACGTCACTGACCCCAAAAGAATGGTTGGTCCATGACCCCATTTTTGATTCGGGTCAGAAGGAGACTCTACCTGGAGTCTCCATGACCCTTTAAAAATGGGTCATTGACCCCATTATTTTGGGTAATGACCCCATTGTTTAAGGGTCATGGAGACTTCAGGTAGGTATGGCCTTTTTTTTCGCGGGATGTCCGACCTTCATACCTTCCGAACCCACATGGCAAACTCAAAAGGAGGGCTTCAAACCCCCACCGGGCTTGAAAACCGCCAAATCGTGGGTGGCTGATAAAGAAGGAAACCCCCTCAAAATACGCCCAGGTGGTCTCCCCAGCCCCCTGGAACTGAATCTCCTTTCGAACTCTCCCTGAAAGCTGCTCCAGTCTGGGACCATCGACCCCAAGCTTTCCGCTGGGGACCAAATGAGGCACCGAAGCTTTGGATCACTGGATTTCCCAAATCAAAAGCTGCACTTTGCCGGTGGCTCCCATTGAACCGTCGCCGCGGGTTGGCGGATCCACAACTTGCGGTGCGAGAAGCCCGGGTGTTGGTTGAATGAACCGGTTTTGGGGCTAGGTCCTCCAGTGGAGAGGTTAGAATAAGGGTACCAACCTTTTTCTCTAGTCTGTGTGAGTAGGGGAACCCTCCCAACCAAACAAGGGGTTAAAGAACGGGCACCCAGCTGGGGCACCTTGGGGACAACAGTGTCAAGCTCAAGAATGCCCAGCAAGAACTCTTGCCTGGGCTGTCCTCAGATCCCGCGCTAAAAAAGTTGACAACTTTGAGTGGACATGGAAAACCATACTCCCTTTCTCACAAACCACCAGACGGCGTTTTTTCGCAGCTCTTGGGCGCCAGGAAGCTCCGGAAGACGACGCCACAGGCGCCCAGCGCCGCCAGCGCACCTGCAGTTGAAGCATGTGGCATGGCCCGTATCATGGATACATATATACATATATATATATATGGTGATTAATCTGTTTAATTATGTTTTGATTTATTTATGTATTTACTTATTTATTATTTATTTATATTTATTTATTTGTATTTATATATATACATATATATATATATGTCACATATATATACTATGGTTGTCAGGGCCCCCCCAAAAAGAAGACCCCCTAGAGATGGCAAGGATCATCGCTATTACCCCCTATTGGGATTGGGGGACGGCCCTATGGGCCCCTTGACCAAAGGAACATATGCTCACCCGCCCCCGCCCCCCCAAGGGCCTACCTTTCTACTTACAGTAGAGTTGACACCTTCAACTAGAATACAGGCAGGTAGGCCCTGGGAGGGGGGGGGAACATATGTACATATATATATATATATATATATATACATATATACATACATACATGTCTGTATACGTATATATATATATGTTTACATACACATGCTTATGTACATTGTATACATATATATATACACGTCAGTGCGTTATGCCTAGATGCTTCTCTGAATTTCAACTCGGCGCCTGGTGTTGGGCATGTGCTGTTTTGATCTATCAACCATCTTGCGGGGTGTCCCCATTAAAAATCATTGCCATATATATATATATATACTAGGCTGGAATTAGGACCCCAGCCAGAAAATATATTTTTTGCCTGGTTAGTGGAAAACAAAGGGAACCCAAAAAAGCAACAACAAAAAAATAAAGAGCTACTTCTGTGGAAGTATCTACCTTTCAAACACAAAACGGCCCAACTTCTCGACCTTTGGCAGCCCCCGAGTTGAGTCGAAGTACAAGCAACCAGCATTCGAGATGCAAACGCGGGTCCGGACCCCGCCACGTCCGTCACGGTCTCAAACAAAGTTGAACACCGCGGGCACAGTTGAACACCAACTGAAAAAAAGGAACCAAAGGTCCCCCGTTTCTGCCAAACAAAAGAAGCAAAGGTGCCCCCCTCCTCCCTTTCCAGGAAAAACTCTTACCCAGTGGAAGGGTCCACTCCGGGCTCTGACCTTTCCATCCGATTTCTCCGCCTGCCACCAAGCCCAGGTCCGCCCATCGAAGCGGCGCGCTGCCGGCCGCCGCCACCTCGGTCGCCAGCGCGATAGGTAGCTAGGGAACAGGGCGGTGGTTTGGGATTCCAAAGGGATCCACTGGATCCAAATCAGGAAAAACTCAGGAAAAACCAGGGAATCCCAGGGAAAACTCGGGGAAGATCCCAAATCAACGGAATCCCGGGGTAAACCTTTCAAAATACAAAGCACAACTCTGCGGCAACCCAAATCAGCTCAGCATTGCTCAGGGCTGTGGTTGAAATGGATGGGAATCCACTTCTCTGATACAAACAACACCTTCCCAACCCAAAGGGGGCAGATTCTACACAGAAGTGGTGGGAGACACTCGATCCATCGATCCCACAAGCCGATCAGTAGAGAATGACAACGAGTCCGGATTGAACCGGCTTTGGGGATTCCCTTAAAGGAAACCAACTCTGGAATGGCTTTTTTCGGGGTCATTCCATTTCTCAGTCCCTGTCGCGCCAGCAAGTTTTGGGCTGTTCAAAATGGAGGCGTGGCCAATCCCATTGTCCATAATCCCATTTGTAGGATTTGGGGAAAGCAACCGAAAATCAAAGTATCCCAGTGCTTCCACTAGTCTTGTCGGTAACCAAGGAAAGCCCCCTTCAAAACCAATCGGACAATTGCGAAGGGTTACCTACCAGAGTGGCTTGCCTGGGATTTTCAGGGTATGTCAAGAAGGCACCCAGAGAGTTCTGCGTTCAAAGCTAAATTGGCCAGAAACATCTGCACGTGACCCACCAAACCGAAAGTCCACCTCGGTTTCCGGTCGCCCCACTGCCCTTCGACTCACCAGACTCGTCTTCAAAGCTGCACGACTTTGGGGGAACCGCTTCTTGAACATGGGGGTCCCACTCCGTTTGGAAAACAAAGCGACAGTTTGGGTGTGGGTCAAAATTAAACCACCAGGATGGGGACCGCAGGGTTTGGTCCATGTTGCCACTTACCAGCGCAAGCCATTTTGGGGTTACCCTATTTTTGACAACCACAGCCAGTTGTCCAACCTCAAAAGAATCAACGCCCATTGTATGGGCTGCAGGAAGCATAGAGTCTATGCCCGGGACCCAAAATCAACATGGGGGGGTGATCAAAAGGTGCCATGAACATGGGATGACCATACTGTGAATGGACGAAATCCGCTTTGCACCACTTTGAAACCATGGGAAGCCATGGTTTGTTGTTATTTACAGGAGAACGATCATTCCAGGGTTTCTTAGGTGGTGCAGGATTTCGTCCATCCACCATAGGTTGGAAAGCCACCAAGCAGACTGGATATGTTTTCCCACACGGCAAAAAGTGGGAAAAGCTCAAAACTGGAGGCCCTGAATGGAACAAATCGCTGACCCACCACGGAGCCACTCAGCCCTGCGCCCGAAGAGCTAGGCTAGCCATGGCCCCTGGTGGAACTGGAACAGATGCCACTAGGAGTACTCCTCGATTGGTCTGGAACACATGACGTTGGCAATCTCCTGGTTGACGTTGGAAGGGAAGCAAAAAACTGAATTTTAGCAGTTAAGCGGTTGGATTTCAACCACTAAGCCACAATAAGTAAACATGTAAAATGTTTCCCAACAACAACCATGATCTGTCCAGCGATAGAATCCCTGTTGTGACCAGAAAAAGCCACATGCTGTTGAGGAAAGGGATGGTTGGCTCCAGACTGAGACAAGTGAAACCCATCTTCATTCAACCCAGGACATCTGTGGTTGCTGACCGGCGCTTGGCTCGTCTGAGACCCACTGGAATGCAAGTTTGCGCTGAAACACACCCAGATTTATGGCCGAGCCTCATAGAGCAACAAGGACTCAAGCCTTGCAGATGTGTGTGTGTGTGTGGGTCAAAATGAAACCACCACAAAACCGCAGGCGTTGGTCCATGTTTTCCCTTACCAGGGATCCATTTGGGCACCTAAGCTATGACAACCACAGCCACATGTCTAAGACCTGGCCAGTTGCCAGCTTGAGCATCCGAGCATCCGGCGGCATCCGGGTCAGCCGGTGGCACTTTGCAGTGATGCACCCAGGTCAGCTTCGGATGGTCATTCTTCCATTTGCTTGAGTCCCCTGAAAAAAATAATGAAAAAACATGCATGCCCAGTAGTGATAGATGTCCTGTAAAACCAAATAATGATGATAGACAAAAACACCTAAGCAAATGGAAGCTGCTATCATCTCTGAGATTGCCCTCAAGCGCCCACGCCCCCCGCCCCCCGCCCATTTCTCTCTTTCCGCATCGCTCTCCAGTCTTTGGAGCGCCGCCGTGCGAAGACGGCCACAATGCCCTCGAGTCTGGCCAGCCAAGGCTTAGCCTATTTGGACACCTGCAACTTGGCCATGGAGGCGCTAGGTCCTCCAGTAAAGGTTAGAGAATAAGGTTACCAACTTGTTTCTTTCTTAGGGAAACCCTCCCCCAGAAAAAGGGTAAGACAGGGCACTACTGGGAACCTTGGAGGGGGGGGGGGCGCGCTAGTTGTTGCTTTTTGTTGGTGCCCTGTCCACGTTGCCATGGAACCAATTTACCAAAGTGTTTGGGATGAGGGGAAAATAGAAAAACCAGGCCAGGACTCTGTCAGGTTCCATTTCCATGTGTGGTGGAGGGTCGTCAGATTTCAATGTGAAAAAAGACACAAGCAACCCACCGGGGGAATGGGGCATCAAACAGGAAACCCTACAACATCTGGATGTTGCGGAAATCGGTGGGTTGGACCTATCTGGCGACATTTGCACTCTCGCTTTTCAAAGGAAGACAAGAGGGTGGCATCGCATTCCAATTACTTTGCTCGCGCCCTGCTCAGAGCCGGCGCCGAAGTCCATCGATCGCCTGAACGTTTTGTTGCACGGAAAAAGAGTCTCTCCCCGCCTTCGATAAAAGCACCCGCTGGGCTGAAGACTTGAATTTAGTTAAGACCCCTGCACAAAAAATGCGAAAATATGTCCGGTAGTGATATCGATTCCCTTTGAACCCAACAGGGGTTTTAACAAAACATATTCTTAACAAAATGAAAGAAGACATTGAACCGTGACCCTTGAAGATTCCCAGGTGTCTACTCCGAAGCTGCCGACCCTTTCCGAACATCGAGATTCAAAACCTCCAACTCTTCTCGATCCGTACTCCTGCGAGAGGGCTTGGGCATTCAGTAGGGCACTTCTGCAAGGTTGCCCAATTCACAAATCGTGGGCTGAGTGGTTGCATCCGTGAAATCCACTGAGCCCGCGCTACCCTTCCAATCAAACTGCCTGTCCAAGAGCGTGGTCTTCCAAAAGAAACCTCCTGTCCATGTCCATTGCTGGAACGAGGGCAAACCTCGTTCGTGGCAACTTGCACAACCGGGCTCTTGAAGTACGAGTAAAACCTCGTGTTGCGAGTCTATCTTGGTTGACGTTGGAAGGGGAGCAAAAAAATGAAAATATTAGCAGTTAAGTGGTTGGATTTCAACCACTAAACCACCACAAGCAAAATGTGTCAAATCTTTTCCAACAACAACCATGCTATCTTCCGACTCCCATGTCTTCGCGGCTCCGCAGCCGGGCACGCGTTCGCTAAGCACGAGCTGAGTTGGCGTCTTGTTACAGGCCAGCCACAAGTCAACCTGTCAGGCGCCAAGTTGCCTCCGGTTTCAAAAGAGGTCCTCTTTCAGAGCATGTTGCTCCTGAAAGGGGCCCTTCTTGTTTGGAGTGCCCAACTTGCTGGAGGAAAAAAAACGCGGCGCCCCAAAAAAGGAGAATATGCAAAGGGCAAAGAACAGAGTCCCCCTTGGTAGGTTGCATTTCAAGGCAGGAACCCGCCAGCTCCCGCCCACGGCTCCCCCCCCCCCATTCACGCCTTAGAGGCGGCCCAAATTGCTAAGCTGCTGCGCTTTGAACACCTCGCAGCGAAGTCTCTCAATCCAAAAAACCCGCGGGAACGACAAGGCCGATGCTAGGCGCGTGTTGGTTTGTGCTTTGTTTGTTCTTGGGGCCAGGGTTAGGCGCGTGTCGATTTTCCCCAACGGCTGAAAGCTTTGGGGTCTCAGCCCAGATAGGCTCCGGGGTGGTCCGGGGCGGCCCTGAGGTACGGGAGTTCCACCAGGGTTCGACCAGGGTTCCACGAGGGTTTTACCAGGTTCTGCGAGGCTGCGGGGTGGTGCGAGCACTAAAAAGAGCACCGCATGCTGGTGCGGATATCACCTGGGCCTAGTTTTTGGGTTTTTTGGTGTTTTTTTTGAGTTTTTTGGGGGGGAGGGGGGGAAAGGCATCATTTGGGTGGTGACTTATGCCTCTCCATTACAACTCCTAGCCACTGAACTCCCCCAGCGCTCAAAAACAGCTCGCTCAACTTGCGCCGAAACGGGTCCGAACGCGCATTGCCCCCGCTAGCTCCAATCCATCTGGGCTGGGCCAAAAGTCAGCATCCCACAAGCCATGCGACCATGCCATCAAAAGCCCATGGGCGGAGAAGCACTGAGTGCCGGCTATTGAGAAGCAAGCTCTGCGGCAGCAACAAAAAACAGCTTGTAACCTCACAGTTCGCTGGCTGTAGCATTATCCGGCATGACTCATGCATGACAAGTGGCTGCCGTGAATCACTCTGTTGCCAGTTTGGCCCAACCTTCAAAGACCCTTCAAATGCTATCCTCTTCCAACCCTTTTCACATGGAACCTGACGTTCGGGACCCGGTTCCTTTAAAAGGCAAATGGCCCAAGCCAGGACCCTCCGAACGTCGAACGTTTCCGGCTGTGAAACTAGGTCCTCCAGCGGAGAGGTCAGAATCAGGGTAATTACCAACTTTTTTATATGTTGTCCATTTTAGTAGGATTGACCCCTCCCAACCCCAAAAAAGAAACCGGCGAGAAAGGGCCCCTACTTTGGAGAAGGGCTGAAACGGGTACCCCGCGCCCGCGTCCGATCCCATCGCGCCGAGAAGCGTAGGCCAGCGGGTCCTCTCTCCTCTGGCTTTGGCTCTGCGCGGCGCCGAGCCTCACGGGTCTTGGGGCAGGCGGGCCGCGGGTTGGGTCTGTGACAACGAGTCCGGGTGTTGGGAAAGGACCGGTTTTTGGAAATTCCCCTCCAGGGAACTATAAGATGGATGGTCTTGGCTCGGGTCATTGCAGTTTTTTCCCTGAGAACCAGCAAGTCGGCTCAAGGATTCTCAAAGTTCAAGTTCCAGAGAAGCCTCCAGGTCGTCCTCCGAAAATGAGGTGTTCTTTTGGAGGAAATTGTCTTGAGACAGAAAATCGACTCTGAAACCCTTGAAACACGAGTGAACCGTCAGAGACGATAGTTTCCGGTTGGTGTCTCGTTCCAAAAGGAGGGAACCCTCGAAACAAGGCACCTCCATAGTCAGATTCAGAGGATTGGGTGGACGTACGTACAAAACCAAATTCCTCCCGATTCCACAAAAGGCCTAAGCAAGAAGCTCGAAAGGATTGGCTGCGGGCAATTGAGACCAAGAAGAGGCTGACAAAGCGGCCAATGGAAAACACAATAGCCCTGGTCCATCAAAAGGGCCTTGCAGCGTGCTACACGCATGATTGTGATGGCGTGTTTACGTAGTGTGAAGGGGAACCTGTTTGCTAGGACCCGTTCAGGTTTTCGTGAAGAAAGGGTGGCTCCTCAAGCAGCCAGTTTTCCGTCAAGCAGGTGTCATTCGTTTTGAGCAAATGCTTGTAAATGTGAGTATCGGGTTTAGGGGCGGATGCGACAAGTTTTGCTGTTTTCCCCAAGGTCCGGTGCTGAGGACACGGCTGACGACCAAGGATGACAATGCAAACCAATGCTGCAACCCTGGCACCTCTTTCAAGCGCTTCTCGCTCGGGCCCTGAGCGTCCAGCTTTGAGGCCTCTTCCATTCGCCCAAACGGCCCCCTTTAAAAACGGGGGCCAAGCCGCAATGCCCATCCAGTGAGTTTTAATTGCGGGCCCCAGGTGAAACCGCAGGCATCTGAGTCGAAAAGATCGCGTCGCCCGCGCCTCTGGGCGGCGGCTCCGAGGATTGCGCAGAGCATCAGCAGCTCCAACTGGCAGCGCGTTTTCCACGCGGCCGCCACGCGGTCGCAACGCGCGAAGCCGAGCCCGGACTCCAAAAGACACCCCGAAGGCAACACAGGGGTGGCCCGTCTTCCCGAAATTCGCCAATGTTTTGGGATCGTCATTTTGGGGGTAGCCTGATTTTGACACATACCCTCGATCCCGAAGCCCCGCCATGTAGAGGTGCATCTTGCGCAGCGGTGCCTCGCCTCGCAAGGGATGCCCTCTCAAAATTGCAGCGCCCGGGCGAGTTTTTTCTTGAGTCGGTACTTTGTTAGAGGAAACCCAAATCCCATTTTTAGTGTTGCAAAAAAAAGAAGAGGCCCCAACCCCGGGTGAGTCTCTTTTTTGAGAGTACGATGTTTTGGTTGGTGGTCGAGGGAAACCAAAAGCAACACCGAATCCCATCTTTGGGCGTTTCCTCATAAAGGACACCCTA